CGGCCAGAGGGGCGGCCCCGCTCTGGCTTTTGCGTTTGCCTGGTGGTTGGTAGTTCAGTCGGGTGCGCTTGGGCCAAGTCTTCCGCAGCCTCATTTGGGCTCGCGCGCTTCCTGCTGTTTACTGTTTATTGCTGGTCGCTCAGAAGCATTCAAGACGTGTATTTATGAAGGGGGTGGGGGCCGCCCTGCCCGATCTCCCGGTACACCGGCGGCTGCAGTGTGGGGAGCCCTCTCTTGAGTTTGGAGAACTGGACTCTTTTCTCCTCCAGGCCGTAGGACATTAGCCCCAGGAGTGGGAGGAGGTGGTTACAACTCAGGCAGTGAGCGTCTGGATGCTGATTGACTGACTGATCGAACAGACAGACTTTGTCCAAGGCTGCGTGGGTGGGTAGGCCTGGCTGTGTAGCCTCTGCTCTCTTTGGCTAAGTCCCGATTGGGCCTAGGCACAGGCTCTGCTATAAATAGTCCCCTTTGGGCCCTCTTGGGGAATGGGAGAGTGAGGATTGTCATTGCTAGGAGGGCACCCAGAGGTTAAGACCTGCTTTCCTAGGGAGCTGAAAGGGCTGGGGGAGATGGAAGGGGGGCCGGGAGAGGGGAGTCAGAGAGCAGAAAGGAAAACAGACTGACTGCCAGGGCAGGCAGCTCTGGGGCTGGAGGGGCTGCTTGGCAGTAGTGGGGGTTTATGGAGGGTAGAAAGGCCTACTGTAGGGAGTGTCCCTCCCCAAGGCATACCCCACTCCCTCTGCCCACTCAAAGGTGGGGTTCAGAGATGGGCCCAACTCCAGCCATCTCTCCCTGTGTCTGATTTTAAGCCAGTGACTCCCTCTCTGAACCCCACCCCCAGACTTGTTTGGTGCACAGTCCCAGAGAGAGCGTCTCTCCTGGCTTTGCAGCACCAGATGGCTGGGTTCCTTGACAGTGGCATATAAATGTCCCTGTAGGATGGAGCAGGCTGCCATGCCCTAGGCTAGTGCTTCTCAAAGTGAAGGCCACTCACCACCAGCATAGAGCTTGTTAAGGATGCAGGCTCCTGGGGTCTCCTGCTGAATCGGAGGTGACAGGCATCCCAGCCTGTCTCCCTGGCTGGTTCTGAAGCCTTCCAACAGTTGAGACCCTACCCGTCTGTCTTCGTGTCGGTTCAGTTGTTTCTCGTTCAGCTCCACCGCCCTTTGGGGGCCTCTCTGTGCCGCTCAGGCTTCTGGGTCTGGCTGGGTCTTAGGCTCCACACAGCCCCCCACAAGACTTTCCCCCAGGCTGTGGGAGAAGGTGGGCGAGCTGAGACCTGTGGAGGGCCTCTCCCCAAACAGCCCAGGCCTTCCCCACCTGACTTGGAATTTTCTATCCCCTGTATGAGTGTCAGGTGATGCTAGCTGCTGTGACAAATAAAGTCGGAAATGCCAGTGGTTAACACAGTCCAGATGTATTATTTCTGGTTCACATCTCATGCTGCTCCGGAGTGGGGGAGGGGTGGGGCGGGGGAGGGGGAGTTCTGTTCCGCGAACTCATTCAGGGACCCAGGCTGACATATGCTCTCCCATCTTCAACAAGTGGCTTCCGTGGTCACTCCGGGCATTAACATACAGCCAGCAGACCAGAGTGAGCGGAAGCAGCCCTTCTCAATCCAGTTCCCTGAGAAAAGCAAGCCTAGTGCTCTAAGGCATACATTGTATATCATGAATTGACTTCTCTCTTGTACATCTGGAATGGTTCTAAGTTTGCATCATTCTTGGGAGACGGAGAATGGCCACTGAAATCATTTTCGTAGGGGTGAATTCTCTCAGAGGAAAGCTGGTGTAGACAAGGGCAAGGCAAGAGTTTAAGACCCAGGCCTACAGGTAGTAAAGATTACTTCTACCCTCACCTTTTGGGCAGAACTCAGTCATATGGTGCAACAAAGATGCGAGGCAGGCTGGAAAACGTAGCCCTCGGCTAGGCAGCTGCTTTCCGACCTCATGTCTCCTCTCTTCTCAGCACAAGGGGAGCATAAATCTTGGGGGGAGTTAGCCATCTCTGTCTAGCTCACAGGTGTACTGGAAAAGTGTTCATTGACTTGTAGAGCGATTGGCTTAATTGGATTGGTGAAAAAAAAACCCTGCTCCATGCCCTTGGGCCCCAGCAAGTGTCTCAGGCTGGAACATTCCTCTGGGATGTTCCACAGACCATGAGTAGAGTGGCCAAGCAGAGGATTCAGAAGGCAGGGCCGGATGTGAGTTGTGCTTCCAGTGCTTATTGGCTATATGACTTAAGCAAGTGGCCTAACATCTCTGAAAGTATGTCCTCATCTGTAAAAATGGGAATCCCTGACCTCAGAGGGAGCTCAGTGTGGAAACTTCTATGTAAATGTTCATTATCATCACCGTGACCATTACCTGCTCTGGCCAGAGAAGGGGGGATCGGGGAGATAAAGATGAGTGGTTGGCATTTGGAGGCCAAGCTGCTGAGGGCCTTGAATGCCAAGTGGATCCAACGGGAACCATAAAAGGCTTTGATCGAGGAAGCATCACATGAAAGAGATCTTTGAGAATGAACTGGGTAGTGTCCACAAAAGGTATTAATGAGACCAAGGCCACAAGCTCATTCCTGCTCGAATCTCCCTCTCCTCCTGGCTAGAACCTTGACACCCTGAGCCCAACCAAGGCTGATCTGACTGTGCCTGGCATGGCTGGTCAGATATCCAGTCTCTGGGCTGGCCACAAGGGGCTCCAGGGTAACTCATCCCCACAACAGGGGCCCCTCTGTGGAGGGTGGCACAAACAGTGCCCTTTCTGGAAGATCTAGAGGTCCTCATGTCAGTTCAGTTCTGATGGCTTAGTGCCCAGGACCTCCCAGCAGGTGGGGCCTTGGGCACTTGCCAGCCACAAGGCAGCATTTTAATGCCGACATAGATCAGGGCAGCAGCCCAGGCTGGGGGCTCCTCTGCCCTCCCATGGAATGGCTTGTAGTGCGCATTTCCCTCCAGAAAACACAGTCAGGTGGGCTCCCACCAGGGTTGATAGGGCAGCAAGCTACTTTGGTAATGCCAGGAAAGGGGCGGGGGGCCAGGGGGTACCCACTTGAATCTCTACCCTTTAGCTACTGCCCAGCCAGGCCAGAAAACCCTTCCTGTGCCCCTAGGTGCCCCACACAGCCAAATACACATTTGCACTAAAAGTTTATGTGCAAAAACTCATTCATTTCACGTCTCATTTGTCAAGAGACATTTTGATATTTGTGCTTAAAAAGAACATGGGCTGGATTAGCACAGCGGAGCTGGTGCAGGAGACCAGGCCCCTTCTTAGCCACGTTCTCGTAAATCTGGCTCCTAATTAATCTGAACGCTGACCTATTTTTTATGATCACTTTGTTGCTGATTGCCATTTCTAGAAAAAAGAGAGAGAGAGAAAGAAAACAAAACAGAGTATCTTCCAGACAAACCCTTCTAATCAGGAAAGGCGCCGGCACCGCAGTGATGCCAAGTGCAGCCTCAGAAGAATACAGTTTGCAACTGAATGGCTTGTGTGTTGGCAAGAGGTTCCCCTCTGCAGGGACCTGGGGATCAGATCTGTGGCATGTGAACCTCTAATTAGCCTCAAGGCTCCGGCCCCAAGGAGAGGCGCCCTGGCCCCTACAGAGAGCCGGCTGACGTGGCAAACTGCCGCCTGGGGCTCACACAGGGATCTGGCTCTCAGTATTTCAATTACTAATGAGAGAGAGACAGTCAAGGCCATGGGTGTGCCGGCTTTCAAGAGGCTCTTACTGCTGGGAGCCACGGGGGGGAGCATCCTTGGGTGTCGCCATAGCAACCGTCAACCACGCCGGAAGGGGGCTGTGGACAAGGTGAAGACACTCACTCTCGGCCCCTGCCCCAGGTGGGTGCCCCAAGCTGGTGGAAGCGGTGCCAGTGTGACCTGGGAGAGTGTCCACGGAGCTGGGAAAGTCTCCACCTAGGCTAGCAGGGCCAGGCGACAGTCACCTGGTGTTCCCAATCTCCCCGGACCCATGAGGACCCCCAAAACAATTGCCTTCAATAAACAATCCACTCTTCCCTCAAGCTCTGATGTGACATGAAGATCATAATTAAAGAGAAAATAAATCTGGCAAAATTTGTCCCAGAGAAGAGAGGGCGAGGCTCCCTGAGCATCCTGAAAGAGAAAATTAAAGGATTTCATAAAGAAAACGGCTGAGCCTCACAGCTGGTGAGAGACGCCTGCATCATCCCTGACAGCAGCAAACGTGTGTGAGTATTGGCTGCATGCCGTCCCCCTCCTCATTGGCCAGTCACGTGACTGCCATGAGCACGAACCGGCGATGGCAGCCGTGGACCCAGCTCAAGAGTGTCAGGGGCGCCCATGGATCTCCACCACAAAGCTGTCTGTGTCAGTGGGAGTCCCAAGAGGGGGTAGCCCTCATCCAGCTAAGGCAATCGGAGGAGGCTTCCTATAGGCAGTGTGCAATTTCTGACATGAAGAGGCACCTGGGGCTTTGTCCTCCTGCTTAAGTCAGTCCTGGGAAAGCTGCTGGAGGCCTTGCCTCCCTCCCCATCTTGTGCCACGTGAATTGAGAAAGTCACACCAGATGGAACAACCTTCGTCCACCACTGAGTAGTTAGCCAGCTCATGGCGTGGCCATTCTTTCCGCGTAAGGGAGACCCCAAATTAAGGACAAAACAGCTACCCTGTGGATTGCAATGATGATAGATAATAGCTGTCTTTTACTGAGCACTGATTATGTGCCACACACACATATCACAGGTTTGCCTCCTTTTCGCTGTTCTGCATAACTCCTCCTGCCTCCCTTCATCACACAGTCACCTCCCCAGGGCGCAGACCCCTTCCTCAGCTGGGGTGGCAGCTCCCACGAGAAAAGCGGAGAGCTGGCCTTTCTAAATGTCACTGGGAGCCAAACCCACCAAGGAGCTTCTCATTAAATACGCCAGGCGCACATTTTTAAAGCTCTGAATATTAAGGATTCCCCAAGCATCTGTGAGGATAAATGAGGTCAAGTGCTTTTGTAATACGATATTGATTAGTTCTGCCCCATGTGGACAGAGGCAAGGGCTTGGCTGTGGTCTAAACCCCTGAGCTTTATGGGAGATGCTGGCTTGGTTTGAACACATCTTTGTAGCACAGGAGGAAAAAAAAGTATTATCTTTTCTATTCCCCCTTGCTTTGCTGACTGTTACCAGGCAT